AGAAGGAAGTAATCAACTGCTGAAATTAGAGCTTTAATATATAGATATAAATGGAATTCATTGCAATTTTTTTTACAATTGTTTGCAGTCACGGGGTTTCATGCTTGCAAGAAAAGAACATAATACAAGTGAGATACGATTAAGAAATAAAGCAATGACAGCTGTTTGTATGCAGGCGAGCGTAAAAGTGCATGCATCAAAAAGAGCACGGATGCTTGCCAATCACGAGAGGAAAACAAATGCTGTGCAATGATGCAGGGAGCATAACACAACATAAAAACAAGAGAGTGTAGGTGTGAGCAAAGCATGTATACGGGCAGCATAAAGTGAGCAGATATAAGTGATGGCATAGTAAATGCAAAGAGTGCAAAAATAAGGGTGCGCAAATACAACAGGTTCAATAGATATGCAGTAATAAGACGATAACACATATATTAATTGATGTAAAGATAAGCAACAAAAGAAGAAACAAGAATCCACTGTGGGGGAGAGAGAGAGGAGAAAAGGGATGAGGCTTCAATTTCAATTCATTGAACAATTATGAAAGTTAACACCGTGAACTCAAAGGTGTCAAAAAATAGCGACAAAATAAGATCAAACTGCTCTATTTGAAATCAAATCCAATCATATCCAGAATATAACCCTAAATGATTCAAAATCAAAGCTAAAATTAACAAAAAGAATAATTAATAATGATTTTAAAAAATAAAACTAGAATTTCTAATTTAAATTGAATAACTTAAAAAATCTAAACATAGTTTCCTGATGTCTCCAAAAAATAATACGCAGGTCTGCTTGGTGGCTGTCAACACGTATTCAACCAGACCAATTTAAAGAATTTCATGGCAAAAACGAGTCAATCAGAAAAACAGATTGGCATGCTTACCATACAGGTACTACATTGCCAATAGATATTTCTTGAAATCCAAGACCAAGGATGCCATCAAATTTTGCAACCAAGAAAGTGACACTTGGCTCCCTAGTTGCTTCTATAAAAACCTGCCAAATTCTTTCATATGAAATTTAATCCAAAAAGTCGTCATAATTACCACAATTTACTGCAATTCTAGAGCTTTTGCAAGACAAACCTGTTCTTTCACAACGAGGGAACCAACAGACACATAGTCTTCACTCAAGAAACCAGAAACTGATCCAGTTCCATAATGAATAGCGGCAGACTTCCCTGTTTAGAAAATTGAAAAGCACACCATTTAAGTCGTTTGTCAGGAGGGGATAATTTCATAAGTTCAATGATAGAACTGTCATCATTGAAAAGCAGACAGGCCGACAGACAGTGGCCCGGGCAGGATCAATTAATTATTTCGCAATTTCTTTATGAATGATCCATCCACATCAATACATGTTGACAGTTGCAAAATAAAAATAGTAATGATACTAGATAGTGGCCTGCGCAAAACCTAAAATCAAATAAAAGATCGGATAATATTATACTAAAAAATAAAAAATAACACGCAAGTAAAAGACGAACCATTCTTCTTGTAGGTGCTTGACCTGCTTGACCTGTACTTCGAATGAAAAAAGCAAGCAATCTGCAAAAAA